GAACGAATTAGAAATACGATACGGAATCCTATAGATTGATATAGAGAGAAGATCGTTGGTGGGTATAACTCTAAATAAGTCACGGTGATTAAATGTAGACCAATTATTTTGTTCGTTTAGAGAGAGTTCACTCTCAACTATGGATTAATAAGCTGAGATGTATGGAACTCGTTGCTCATTGAAAACTACAAATCAAATTAATTTGTTTCTAAATTTAAAAGATCACGACTCATCATTTTTTTGGGTAAATGACGCAACTTTAACGAAAGGATATGTGTTTAATCAAAACACACAAACGCATAATTATTACTCAAATTATGTTGTTTATTTTTGTACAATTTCCTACCCCTAAAGAGATAATTATTCACGACACATCTCGAGCATCACAAAAGGAACAAAATTATATTTAATGATTAGTTTGATTGGAGAAATTAATATGGTCATCGTAAATATTGACTTTCTATCAAGGTTTTAAAATATGTCTATTAGAAAGATGTTTTCACACCGTTACGGGGAATGTTTCGTTTCATTTTCTAATCAATATGGGATCATGAATTTGAATATTGATCGTTTAAGCGTAAGATGTTAATTAAATCCGCGGGAATGGGTGTATTTTAAACGCGAGGAAGAGAGTGGTTTGGATGAGGAAGTTTGTTCTTGGCACATAAACGTGTGTTTGAGAGAGCAGAGATCCTCATTTCATGGCGGAACTCACTCAAAGGGAAAACAATGGAATCCATATAAAGTCTCCGACAATGGAAGACGAAGAGACGACCAGAAAAAGAAAAACCAATTTTCTCCATTCATTAATAATACCCTTTCTGTCTCACCAAAAACCAAAACAAATAAGGTAACCCCACCTCTGTTTTCTCTGTTCTCTCTGTTCTCTCTGTTCTCTCTGTTCTCTCTGTTCTCTCTGTTCTCTCTGTTCTCTCTGTTCTCTCTGTTCTTTCCAACCAAACTTCCAGAATAAACAACGTTGGAGATTCAGAAGCCCCAAAAACATGGACAAACTCTCGCATTTTGATCTCAACACTGGAGCAACCATTCCGGCTGTCGGCCTCGGAACATGGAAAGCCCCGCCCGGCGAGGTCGGAGAAGCTGTCAAAACCGCCGTCAAGGTTTCTCTGCATCCTTCCATATCTAAATTACACTTAGTTTAGAGTAAAAATTGATGGGTTTGTCTGTTTCTATGAGCAGGCTGGTTATAGGCATATTGATTGTGCTCATGTCTACGACAACGAAAAAGAGGTTTTCTTTCGCCTTCTTCTTCACATAATTCTGTACAAGGAATTCATAAACTCTGTTGCAGGTAGGAGCAGCGTTTAAGGAACTGTTTTCAACGGGCGTAGTCCAGCGAAGTGAAATGTTCATCACTTCTAAACTCTGGTAATCCCATCAAATTTCATTACTTTTGTTTTGTACTAAAACCCCATCATGATTACATCAAAATTAGTAGTGATTTTGCGTTCATCTCCTCCACAGGTGCAGCGATCAAGCACCTGAAGATGTCTGCAAAGCATTGAGCAAAAGCTTAGAAAATCTTCAACTTGATTACATCGATCTCTATCTTGTACGCCTTTCTTATACCCTATGAAATGCTGATATTGTTTGCTTTTGACTTTTCTAAATGGTCTCGACCAATGTCGATAGTATTCCTCACTTATATACAATCCTGAACATTGACATGCTTATTTCAGGTACATTGGCCATTCAGGACGAAACCCGGGTCGAGAGGGTTCGCTCCTGAGGTCATGGCGCCGTTGTGCATTGCGGAAACGTGGAACGCGATGGAGGGGTTGTATGCATCTGGGCAAGCAAGAGCCATTGGTGTAAGCAACTTCTCAACAAAGAAGCTTCAAGATTTGCTCAAAACTGCCAAAGTTCCACCGGCTGTTAACCAAGTTGAATGCCACCCAGTTTGGCAGCAGCCTGCACTTCACAACCTCTGCAAATCCACCGGCGTTCATCTTTCGGTACATTTTCTAAATCCATTTGCTATCAATAATCAACAGACACATGAATTTACATAGAAAATTGGATGATGGGTGCAGGCATATTCTCCATTGGGATCTCCAGGGAGCTGGGTGAAGGGTGAAATCTTGAAGGAGCCAATTCTCATAGAAATTTCAGAGAAGCTGAACAAGTCACCGGCGCAGGTGGCCCTCCGATGGGGCATCCAAAGTGGCCACAGTGTTCTTCCAAAGAGCGTAAATGAATCAAGGATTGTTGAAAACCTTAGCTTATTTGATTGGTCCATTCCCCCTGAGCTCTTCTCAAAATTCTCACAAATTCATCAGGTAAGTAATCAATGATATTCAGCTCAAAAGCCATAGATATTAATCTCATCTTTGCGTGGATTGTATTATGCAGCAACGTCTTCTTCGCGGGGATTTTGCAGTCCATGAAACTCAAAGCCCTTATAAAAGCCTTGAAGAACTTTGGGATGGTGAAATATGATACCAATATCCATATGAATTTGATAACAACACTTCCAATTTGTAATAAACATCGATTTGGTCATTCTTTTAGGACGCCATTTCATATTAATTCTGAGATTGTTTTGTAATAATTTATGTTTTCTTTTTGAACATTTTAAGTTCTTAGTCGTTCTTACCCATTTGTCTCCTAAAATCTCAATTCATTGTTCCAAGTGTGGTATTAATTCTATATATTCAGTTCCCTTCTCAAACAATTCTCAAAGAATTGTGTTGTAGTCTTCATTAATTTGCTCGACACCAATTATGAAATTTATTTGTTTTTTTTTAGTTTAATAAGCGTGACAGGATGTTATCCACCTTTAAAATCATATTCATATCTTATCTATTCAGCTATGCTTGAATTGAAAATGCTCAAATTTAATAAAAATTTAACGGCTAAGTCTTAAATATTAAAAAAATTAGAATGTTTACGAGATTTTTTATTACCAAAATAAAATTTTTGGAACCAAAGCACTAATTTCAAGACCAATTTTTTAGAATTGAGCTTATTTACTAACAATTATTTCTTAATAATTATTTAGATTTTTCTTGGAAATTTAAAAGATAGACAACTATCTTATTCAATCACAATCATGAATAACATCATTGACAAAGACTTTGACTTAAATTTCTTGACTTTTGAGTCACCAAAACAACTCGTCAAATCAACAAGTACTTTGATAAGTCTATCGGGTGCAGCGCGAACTAGAAGGAGTTTTAGAAAAATACCCGATTAAGAGTTAGCAAATATATTTTCGTATTAAGATTCAAATCTTATTTACTGTGACTCAAATTCATGGATGCAACATTAGTGAAAAATTACTCACTCTCTGAATAACTATCAAACGTGTGGATTAGAAAATCTATAATTCTCTAATACTTCACGATTACAAATTACAAATATTTTTATAGTTTCTCTTTCATACGCACTCGAATATCAGATAACTCAAACAATTTATTCCATAACCAAACCCGAACGGGAGTGATTTATTTGCTCCAAATACATATTCCATCGATGTGGAATCTCACAATCTACCATTTTAGGGCCAACATCCTTGTTAATACACCGCCTGATATCTAGCTCTTATACCATTTGTAATAGCTAACAGATATTGTCCGCCTTCACACTTTACATATCATCATCTGCCTCACAGTTTTAAAGCGCGTTTACTACAGAGAGGTTTCCACGTTCTTATAAGAATTGATTCGTTCCCCTGTTCAACTGAAGTGGAATCTCACGTCACGGGCACGTGGAGGTTTGAAATATGTTTTAATTGTGTTGACACAAATTTATTATATTCCTCTAAAATGCATTAAAAAAATGAAAACATTAATAAATACTAAAATGGAATTTTAGAATGAACAAATCGAAAATATATAAATTTGGAGATGGGTCCCATGAACTTCTGACCTTGTAGCATATATTATGAATTAATTAAATATTTGATTACTGTTCATTTGACTTTATTATTACAAGACATTTATTGCTACGTAAATTACGCTGCCGTGTCGTGCCATATTATCCTAGACCTGGTCATTATATAACTAAATATTCCTTAAAAATTATAATGTCATTTCATATTAAAACAAGGCTAAAGTTTAAGACGTGCAGAAATTCATAAGACATTGTATGTAAGTAAGTACTCGTGGCGGGGTTCGGGTTCTTCTTCAAATCATATTTTTGCACCTTCAATTTTGACGACCCTCGATATTGGACCATTACTTGTTGAGCTGAACACTACGATGAATCTTAACTTAACTTTGACGAAACATGGTTACGATCTTATATTATATATTAAATTTTTATTTAATAGTTTTCAATAGTTAAAATATGCCACTTTTCATAAGCGGAAAAAAAAGACAAATTTTAGTGATGGCACCAAATTTTTTGTTAAAGTTTCTCCAACTCTTGGAGATATTCATACACGTCAGACCGACTCAATCTAATAAATTAATAAGTCGAAGCTGATTTTGGTTGAAACTTTGATGAGAAAGGCGAAGACATAGTCATCTTCAAGTTGAATTAATAATTATTGTGTGAATCCATACAATATTATCGCACTGAAATTCTTGGTTTGTTGATTTACGATAAAAACAACGAGAAAGATCTATCTATCTTTACAGAGATAAGATATTATTCATTACGAGTTAATATCTAAATGGAACACAAGTACAATTTACGTCTAGATAGGGCACGACTTACAGCTCATTCTTTGTTTGAAATTTTAGGGTTTCCTCCCTCACGTAGTTAGGTTTTGGCTACAATTGATAATAATAACGAAAACTTCACCTATTTAGACAAAGACCTCATGAATTTATTTTTTGTTTTAACCAAAATGTTTTATATCAATGAACATGATTGTCGACACTTATATACTAGAGGGGTATATGAATGTACTGAGACCATATTGGAATGAGAGCAATCTTGAGAATAGAATGACTAAAAATGTCTTAAAAGAATTGAGAGTTACTGTCTATACCAATAAATCGTACTTTCCTTTTCGGTTGCTCAACGACAGAAACTCCAATAATTTCGTATTTCATTTCGTACATTAATTAACATTCTTAATTTACATTTATTCATACATTCAAACAAGAAACACAAAGGAAAGAAAAGACAAAGCAAACGACAGAGATCTTGTTCATACTTCCAATTCCAACTCCAATATCACTAAAAATTTAAAGGCATCCCAAAAATGGAACTGGTAACTGCACCCATGGTTAGTTTACCCACCAGAGAAAACATTGATTTTGTAAGCGTTCTCTCACGTGGCGGCGGCGGCGGCGGCGGCGCTTCATATCCATATTGACTTGCTTGATAATAACCATAATTATTGTATGCATATCCATAACCGAATCCAACAGGATAGCCAAAATAAGGGACGGCGAAACCATAAGGAGCTGGAGGTGGCCCAGGTGGCCACGGCGGCGGTGCAAACGAAATCCCACGTGAGGTAGTCCCACTCGGCGGTGGAATTGGAGGCTCGGTCGAGTGAGCGGGCGGCGAGTCGTACGGCTCCAAAAGGCAGTCAAGATGGATATTGAGACCACAAATATCACATCCGTACACCCAACGGGATGAACAATCAGTTGTGCAAACAACACAGCTTCCAAAGGGCAGCTTTTGGAGCTTTAAAGGATGGTTTTTGTCGATCACATGGTCAAGCTCTTCGGGGAGTTGGGTGCACACTGGGTGGGCGTCAAAGTTGCAATCTTTACATCGGTAGTACAGGCCCTCGACGGGTCCCAGGCAGACATTGCAAAACCGGCCGCCGGGAGCAGCAGCTTCGGGCTTAAGGACGTCCAAAGTGAGATGGTGGTGGTGGATGAATAAGGATAGCTTTTCCGGGCAATTGGCGCAGAATTCATGTAGGTCGAAATCGCAGCCGTGGCATCGGAATCGGCTGTCGGAGCCGATGGTTTTGCAGCCGTCGCAGTAGTAATCTTGATCGTCGAAGAGAAAAATCAAGGGGTGGTTTGGATGTGTGAAATGAAATTTGGTGTTCTTTGGCACCGGAGCCATCTTTCTCTGATGATCTTTTGGTTGTTGGATTTGCTTAAGGGGAGAAACAAGACCTATTAAATGCTACAATAATGCGTCTATTATTATTTTAGGATTTGGAGCTTCAAAAAATAAGTAAGATTCAGATTATTTGTGGTTGATCGAATATCCCAAGATAAAAACATTTATTTTAAATTCATATCACTATAAAATCGATCATGTTTATCTTGATTCTAAACGTGTAATTTAAAATGATAAAAAAATACTTGAAGGGGAAGTAAAATTCAGATTACCTTTTTCATCAAATACTTAACGCAAAAACACTTGTTTAAGATTCGAATTACTCCACAAGCAAAACTGATTATGTCAAACTTGAATGATTCTACATGCAACCTAAATTATATTGAATTGCAAATAAACTTAGTCATTGGCTAATGAAAAACTCAAATGCTCCTTTTATTACATTTTTCCGAGCTACCTTACAAGATAACATACAACGTTCTATAGCCTCAAAATGAAAATTCTTAATCTTCACGAGGCTTTCCAAGAGTTGTAGTTTTCGTATTTTTATGACCATAATTAACCACTATGTAAACTTTAGGGCGACAATTAACCATTAAATAAATAAACCTTAAAATATATTAAAAAATACCATAACTCTGATTACCATCTATCCTCAATTTGTAACAATCTAAAAATAAATGAATCGTACTTAAAGTATCTCGAAGCCTTTGTTGCATAAATGAAGATTAATTGTTCCTAATGTGACATTAATATTACATGATTGAGATACCTTGGTTCATATCAAATTGGTTAAGGTATATATATATATATATATATATATATATATATATATATCTTATGGATACATCTATGTATTTATTTTATATTTTAAGGAACATAATCAATAATCAATAATCAATAATCATTAATCATTGTTACCATTTTAATATTAAATTTAAAAAATATGAAAAATTTTATATCGTATATTGCTGAAAAATATATATGTTTAATAATAAATTCATAGGACTTTGGAAAAAAAATATGTGCTAAATGTAAAGGCATGATCCATGGGTTCTTTAGTTGACTTTAATTTACCAACTTGTGATTAAATAAAGACTTTGACTTAGTTTTGTTTCGCTTACGTTATTATCAAATTATAGTTCTAATCTGGGTAATTTGTTCTTTATATTAATTTATTATTAAAAGTTTGGTATAATCTTCATTTCATTTAATATATAGATAACATCTAATTATATAATCTAAAAATTCTTTTCTTTTCCTCTTTTTTAATATCTTATGTTTAATTAGATTATTTAAATTTTCTAAAGTCTCATTACACATAAAATTCAATTTAATATCTAATATGCCAATTTGATTTTTAAAACTCTATACATGCAAGTCAAAACTAGCCAAGTCTAACTTAACTCGATCCAAGCTCGATATGAAGTTAAAGTTTAACTAGTTTAGCTCAATCCAACCTATTCACTCATTGAATTGGATATGAATCACTATTTTAAAGATTGAACCAACCATTTTAAATCATATTCGATCATGGATTCACACGTCGAGCTAGCCCCATGAACTTATGATTAAAAGAATTAATATTTGATAGGCTTATCCAATGGATTTAGTCAAACCCGACTCAAGTTTGACGCAAACTTTGATGTAATAAAACAAACTCATGAATTCTCGAAGGTTGATACGCGGATCCAAACAATTCCCCTTTAATTTATCAGACTTGATTCCATTTGGCTCCATCTAATGATGTCACGAAACTTTCAAGACATAAATCGAAAATTTACAGATACATTAGATATTTTAAAAGTTTATGAACAAGTAAGCTCGATTGGAGTCACTTCAAAATTAAAGACGAGGGATAAATTGTTAAAAACCAATGGATCCGAAAAGAAAACCATTTATAGCACCTGAAGCTATATTTCCTATCAGAGAAAACATTGTAGTCCCGAACAGTGATCCCCAATTTGACGACGACGATGAAGATCCATGTCCATGCCCATGCCCATGTTCTCCACCATGATATGGCGGATAATTGGGGATATTATTATTGTATGGAAATGGATATCCAGGATACCCATAATAAGAATTCGGAACACCCCAACGGAATCCATACCCATAATAATAATTCCCTCCAAAACCAGGCGGAAACCCACCATTAAAATGAGGCTTCTCCGCCGTCGACGGCGGTGGAGCATGTGGTATCCCACGTGTCCCGCTGCTCTTCTTTGGACCGTACGACTTCCGAAGACATTTGATATGTACGTTGACTCTACAACCATCGCATCCGTACACCCACAAAGAACAACAATCAATTCCACAAACCCCACAATTCCCAAACGACGACTTCTGGAGCCTCAAGCTATGGTAGTCGTCGATGACGTGGCGCACCTTCTCCGGCAGCTGAGTACAAAGTGGGTGAACATCAAAGTCGCAGTGGCTGCAGCGGTAGGACACGCCGTCGATGGATTCACGGCAAATGTCACAGATGGTCGTCGTCCGGTGATGGGTTTGGGGTTTAGAGAGAATGAGAGAGAGTGGGTGGCTGTGGAAGGAGGAGGAGAGTTGGTGGGGGCAATTAGCGCAGTACACGTGGATGTCGGCGATGCAGACGTGGCATCGGAATCTGTCGCCGAAACCGGTGGTTTTGCAGGCGTGACAGATGTAATTGGCTTGGTCGGTTGTGTTGTGAATGAGATGGTGGTTTGGATGGACATGGGAGAAGTGGGGGTTGAGATTCTTGGTCAATGCAGCCATTTCTGTGTCTATTTGTGATAACACACATTGAGTGGGAGGCATTTATAGAGACAACAACGCGTTTTGTGTATGCATTTTACTTCCACCACCATCCTCTTGTTGACTTACAAATTAATTAAACCCCAATACTTTTTTTAACTCAACTCGGAGTCTCTAAACAAGTGTAACACATAGACCGACACGGTCAATGCAAGGTCGAATCAAATGACTTGGCTTAGTGTATAGATAAGTCATTTGTGTCGCAGACGATTGAATATGTACGTGCAAGTGGCATATGTGGTCGAACAACCTTGGATTCCGCACAAGTAATATTCGGTTGGCGAAGACATATCCTATTGAGGATTGTTGGGAGTGAGTCCCACATTGACTAATTTAGAGAATGATCATAGGTTTACAAGTGAGGAATACTATCTTCCGTGGTAGTGGTAGGAGGCTTTTGGAGAAGCCCAAAGTAAAGCCATGAGAGGTTATGCTCAAAGTGGGCAATATCATATCATTATGGAAAATTCTGATTCCTAACAGATCCCATCGAAGGTTTGACAAAGCCACAAAGCAACGCACGCGAAAAATATATATGGTATTTGAGTTCTCCTTGAGGTTGGTCGTGAGTGTGTTAAGATCATGATGTTGCATGATTGAAAAAGTACGACCATGTCACTTAGTATCATACTCGAACTCGAGAGTTGATTGGATATAAGTTTTTTATCTTATTTTTTATTTTTTTCAAAATGGTTCGTACAAATATAGAAATAACTAAATGTCTTAGGGACAAAACAACTCATAATTATTATTTATATTCATGTATGTACTAAGTGGACGAACCGTTTTTTTGTTATTTTATATGAATGAATAATAAGATGCAAAAAAAAGACATAAAAATTGATTAGGCGACAAATTCTTACTTTTTTTTATCTATAAAAAAACATTAATTTTTCTGATTATATTATTAAAATAGATCTAAAGTGGATTTAAGAAAATATCATACGACAAGTTGTTCGAAAGTGTAGATAACTCGTTCGAACTTGTTATAAAATTAATATTTTTATTATTGTTTTTTGAGTTATATTAAATTAATTTATGAGAGTTGTATGGGACATTATATTAATATTTGTAACATTATTTATAGAAAGTCAATAACGGTGGCTCTTTTGAACCAACTAGGACATAAATACAGCCTAAGATATAACACGACAAAATAGCAAGCCTCTGAGCAATTTCCCGGAAAGTAAAAAATGTTGGGGCTCATTCCTGTAATCACCATAATTATTTTCCACTTTTTTAAAAAATAGTTTTTAATAACTCATTTTTATTTTTATAATTTCATTAAAAATTCAAAATTAAGAAAAAGAAAAGTTTAATAAAATTAAATAGTTATTAAATATTAATTAAAATCAAATAAGGATATTAAGACCTAATTAGCCTGAATAACCTTGAATATTCACGTGTCCAAAGGATATAATTGTAAATTCTCATCGTCTAATTTTATTATAATGTACAAAAGCAAGTTTTTTAAATTTGTTTTAGCCCAAAGCTTCCCCTATAGAGGTTATCTCATAATCTACTTCTTAAGAGTTAGCGTTCTTGTTGAATTGGCATAGTGCCTGATGACTACCTCACAATCCACCCCTTAGCGTCCTTGTTGAGTTGGCACACTGCCCGATAACAATCTCAGAATCCACCCCCTCTTAAGGTCCTAGCGTTTTCTTTGGCAACCCGGTGTCATTTAGCACACCGTCCGGTGACTATCTCACAATCCATCTCGTTTAGGGGCGTAAAGTATTCGCTGGCACATCGTTCAATGAATAGCTCTGATACCATTTATAATGGCTTCAAGCTCACAACTAGCAAATATTGTTATTTTTCCATTTAAAAATTTCTTCTCGAAGTTTTAAATCGTGTTTGTTAGGAAGAGGTTCTCACGTAATACTTCTTTCCCCTTTCCAACCCTAAGTGAGATCTCAATTTTGTTGTCACTCTCTCTATTGTTGTTGTTTCTTCAAATACTTCGTATATCACATCATCCCAATCAATCTTTTTAATCAATCAATTAAAAGAGGAGTACAAAATGAACCCAATTGTTGTATATACACTACAAACATTTGATTATATTATTATATATGAACGCAATGAAAAGGGAAAAGAGAGGGAACAATTGAACAGAACACCATTAGAAATTGAAGGATTAAAAACCAACGGAACCGAAAATAAAATCAGAGAAAGCACCAATCGCCAAATTCTCAACCAGAGAAAACATCGTACTCCCAAACATCGATCCCAAGCTCGGCGGATGATTATTGTTGTGTGCAAATTGAACAGGTCCAGGATACCCAATTTGGTAATTCGGGTATCCCCAACCGGGAAAACCACCGTGGTTAGGAGGTGGCCACGTCGCCCACGGCGGCGGTGCATGGTGGTGCATCCCACGTGACCCAGATGGCCGGTGGGTGTTCTCCCGCGAACCGAAGGGCTTTCGAAGGCATTTGAGATGGATGTTGACCTTACAAGCGCTGCAGCCGTAGACCCAGAGAGAAGAACAATCAGCTTTACAAACAGAGCAGCGGGCAGAGGAGAGCTTGTGGAGGAAGAGCTTATGGTTGGGGTCAATAACGTGGCGGAGGCTGCTGGGGAGGTGGGTGCAAAGTGGGTGGACGTGGAAGTGGCAGTCCTTGCAGTGGTAGAAATTGGCGTGGATGGATTCGCAGCACACGTCGCATACCCGATGTGTTCGAGAGGGAACATGGGGGTTGCGGATCATGTGAGCGAGTGGGTGGCGGTGGAGGAAGGAGGAGAGTTCGTGGGGGTAGTCGGAGGAGGTATGCATCGTCGGAGGATGGTTTGGATGGGCATCAGCCATTTCTCTCGATCAGTACCCACAAACAAAAATAGCGCCTTTGTTGCTTGGGGAGCACTCTTGTTTATATGGGTCTCGTTGCTTTTGGCAAAGACCAAGACTTTTAGGGTTTTTATTAAAAAAAAAAAAAAAAAAAAAAAAATCCTTTGATTTATTGTTGCTGGTCACTGTTAGATGTTATTGTTTTCTTATATATATTTCCGTATAAAACCATGAATGAAATAGAATCCATGCACATCACTCTCAAGTTGAATTTGTATTTTGCCGTGTTCATTTCGAATCATTTGAGTGACATTCAAACTTATAGAGGTGAAAGTTTAAGCCCAAATAATTATATATAAATACACATTGCCTAGATGTTTACTTATTCGATAAGATTTCAAAACTTACCATTTTAATGGATGTTAATTGAAAAAATAATTTTAAATAGTTTTGATATTTTCTCTAAAAAAAAATATTTTTAAACTTTCATAAAAAGTTTAAAATTACCTTTAATTTCGATGGAAAATAGTTAATATTTTATTTCAAAAATATTTTAAAACTTAGTTTCAAAATACCCTCTAATTTTTATGAGTGCTTTAAAAAATATACTTAAATTTTTAGAAGATTTATTAAATATCTTTCAATTAATTTTTAAAAAAAAATACTTTTACCGTTAATAATACACGTCTAAAAAACACTCGTAAATTCAAAAAAATAATATTAAAAGTTTGAAATTGTATTGGTATTTTTTAACCTAGTAAAATTTGTTTTAAACAAAAATGGAAGGGTATTAATTTTTTTTTTTTGGTAAGGTTTAATGATATTTTTGAAATATTATCGAAAGAATATGAGTGTTTTCGAAATAAAATATTAACTAAAGTCAATGACAAGAGTAATTTTTTTTAATTTTTAAAAAATATTTAAGGGTATTATAAGAACAGTAGTAAAATTTTATTAATTTAAATAAGAAGAAATCTTAGTAGAATAGAGAAATAGATAAAAATCTGATTAATTCCAAAGTATTAATTAACAAAAATTACATAAACAATTTTATTTTATTTTTATTTGTTTTTGCTTTATTAATTTTTTTTTTTGTCTGGTTTCTGAGTTTAATAGGGACAATGAATTACTTAAAGTAGTAATTTATAAGTTTTTGTGATAATAATTGACGTATTTTTATTGGAATAAGCTCGAATTTGAACTGAAATGAAAAGGCAAGACATTTCAATTTCCAGTTACAATAATCGAAATCCGACTAGAACCCAATAGGGAACCCAAAAATAACACTAGACATCACGCCAACTGTCAGTCTGCCCACTAGAGCAAACATTGACTTTCCAGGCTTTCCCCCACTAGCCGACGACGGCGGCTGAGCTGCATTTACTGCTTCACTCGTCTGATGATTCCCATTACTGTGCACAAATCCATAATTTGGATACATAAAATGGTAATCGGGAACGCTGTAAGGGGCGGCGTAGCCATAAGCCCCATTATGCCCTCCCATTCCAAAATTACCGTACGGAAATCCCCCACTATTCCACGGAAAATCGCCGCCAGGAAACGGAGGCGGTCCGGCTGCCCACGGCGGCCGTATCCCACGAGACGTTGTCTGACTCGGCGGCGATACGTCCGGTCCAATCAAGCAGTCAAGATGGATATTGACTCTACAGATCTCGCATCCGTACACCCAAAGAGAAGAACAGCCCTGTTTGCAAACAGAGCAGCTACCGTACGGAAGCTTCTGGAGCTTCAGAGAATGTTTGTTGTCGACCACATGGCGGAGCTCTTTCGGGAGTTGGGTGCAGAGTGGGTGGGCGTCGAAATCGCAGTCTTTGCACCGGTAGAACAGCCCCTCAACCGGGTCCCGACAAACGTCGCAGATTCGGTCGTTTAGGCGAGCGCCGCTGGGCTTACGGAGAACCAGAGTGAGGTGGTGGTTGTGGTGGATGGATGAGGAGAGTTTGTCGGGGCAATCGGCGCAGTATTCGTGGAGATCGAAATTGCAGGAATGGCATCGGAACCGGCTGCCGGAACCGGGGGTTTTGCAGGCATCGCAGATGTAATCGTGGTGGCTGTCGGAGTGATACAGCAAAGGGTGGTTTGGATGGGTGAAATGGAACTTGGTTTGGTTCGGCACCGAAGCCATCGTGGTTTGGGTTTCAGAGAAGAGCAGAGGAGATATTAAAGGCGGAGGAGAACGCGTTTTTTTTTTAATTTAGCTTCTCTTATTATTTTGTTGACTTGCTCCTTCTGGTTGACTAGCAAGTTGCCATGATAATAAAAATATTAATTATATTTGAAAATTTTAATGTAATAATATCTAAACTTTTAATTTTAAATGCATATTCATATTAAAAATATAAGAAATTTAAAACCTATAGTATGTTATAAATTGAATTTATATTTATCAAATTGAGATAGGTTAATATAATATATTATATTAATTATACAACTTTTTAAAATATAAAATTTTTAATAATAAGGAGTTATATTATTTTAAGCCTTTACTTTGACCTCTTCAATATTTTTAAACGTGTGAAATTTAATCTATATACAAAAAAAATTAATTTTTTAAGGTTAAATTAATAAAAAAAAATATACTTTCTTTCAAAAATATTTTTAAACTAAAAATTTTAATACATCAAAGTATTGAAAATATAATATATATATTAGATAAAAAAGTGTGAGACGAACATAACTCTTCACAATGGTATGATATTGTCTACTTTAAGTTCTCATGACTTTGCTTTGTGCCTCTCAAAAGACTAGATAGTATTTATTGATTATAAACACATGATCATCTCCAGCAAAAAAGAATATATATAGTCCGATGATTTTGATTGAAATGTTTATTCTGTAGTGTTCAAATGTGTATCTTCTCGTTAGCAATGATAAGGTTCTAATTGGGCCTTAGATTCAATCGTGGCCCAATAGAAACGACTGGGTGAGGCCCACGACCGTTGGTTAGTGGTAGAACAGAGATTATTATTTTTTTAAAAATATATTTTATATTTGAAAAGTGGAACGCAGAATCTGAGACTGCATCTCCGCTAAGAGCGCAGGAAATCGAATCCTGGACTCATTATCATTACTTCCACGAATGGCTTTGTGCCGCATAAATCTTCCTCACCGGTGTTCTTCCGGCACACCGCGCCTTGGCCCCACTTGGTCCCTCCAAAACCCTAATCCTCCTCCTCCTCCTCAATTACTTTCTCCTTTTCCATCTCTTCTCAATTCCAATAAGGTAACGCCTCTTCCCCTTTTGTCGCCTCCCCGATTCTCCCAAACTTGGTACTTATTTATCTCCAATCTTTGTTTTACCATTAGTTATCCTATTCCAGAATCCGGGGCCGAAGCTTTATTGCCATGAACGCTCACATGGCCACGGAACCCAAGCCTGTTTCAGATGATAGAATGCTCGTTAGTACTTCCTTACTCTTTATCTTATTTTGCATTTTTCTGTTTCGCTTAATGTGAGGCTTATTACTAAAGGTTGTAGGAAAATTCGTAAGTACTGATCAGAATTTTGTAAAATGTGTAACTTATAGTTTTAGACTGCTAATTGGATTTGTCGGAACGATTTAATTCGTTTTTTTAATTAAGTGTAGTCGATGGATTTACAGGTTTATGTTCCTCCTCATCCGTTGATCAAGCACTGGGTTTCAGTTTTGAGGAATGAACAAACTCCTTGCCCCATTTTTAGTGAGTATTGATGTAGTTCTTAAAGATGTCTTCTTATCGTACTGTAGATGTAGTAAAAAAAACACTTGTAATTTGCAATGATATGTAGTTTAGGTTGCATGTTTAGAATTATTCGAACTTGGCATGATCGATCTGACTTGTGGAGTGATTTGAATCTCAAACGAGTGTTATTGCCTTAAGATATTAGATCAATAAGGTAATTTGAATTTTAGTTCCCTGGATTTCTTATCATTGAGGCTAAGTTTTTTTGCAATTCTACATTGCATGTCTAGAATCATTCAAGTTTGACATGATCGATCATCTTACTTGTGGAGTGATTTGAATCTCAAACAAATGTTCTTGCCTTGAGATATTTGATCAACAAAGTAATCTAAATCTTACTTTCCCTTATAGTGATGTTCTTATCACCTCGTCTTTCCTGTCTTTGTTAAATTTGTCAATAACAATTTTCATTTCTGAGCCATGAGAAAAACTCCAGGTGAAGTTTTCAATTGAAAAACTGTAGGATGACTGAGATAGTCGAGTTGTGTATTTGAGTAGTGGAAGGCAGTTTTCTCTAGTAAGCTTTCGCTTTTTGCCTATGCCATCAATAATTTGTGGAGGATATTTATGCTTTATTTATTGCAGAAAATGCAATGGCAGAGCTAGGAAGACTGCTTATTTATGAAGCTTCAAGGGATTGGTTGGTTAGTTCTTATACTACTTGAATATTACATTCGAGCCTTCCTTAGTAAACCATTAAATGCTTAGATAAATAAAACTAACTATTATTATTATTTTTGTATTCATGTAATATAAAACTGTTCTGAAGAGAGAAGAACATATCTTCAAGTCTTATTCAAATAAATGTCAGTTTTAGTATATATTTGTATTTACTTACAAATTTGTGGTCCTATCCGTATCAGCCTACTGTAACAGGGGAAATACAGTCACCCATGGGTGTTGCTTCAGTTGAGTTCGTCGACCCAAGAGAGCCTGTGGCGGTTAGACTTCCTTTTTTTCCCCCCCTACTCTTGTTCTGGCCTATTGATTAGTGTTTATACTTCCAGTTTGTTGCCGCCACTCTCACCACAAAAAGGAAAGAAAAGGACAGCAATACAGTTTTGCTGTTTTATTTCTGTGGAATTTCTTGCATTATAGCCTAAAGTTGTTCATTTTACTTTTGCCTTTTCAGATAATTCCCATCCTCAGAGCTGGTCTAGCTCTTGCAGAATACGCATCATCTGTATTGCCTGCAACAAAAATGTACCATCTTGGTAAGGGCAGTAGGATAATGCCATGATGTTCTGATCAGAAAAGATTCATGTGAAGACTGGCGTGTTGTAATTTTGTTTATTTACTTTATATATTTTTTAATCAATTTATTTAGTTACGT